CAAAAGGATTGTAATATCTTATAAACGACATATAGTTTCAGTTATAATATGGATAAATTTGGCCTAAAATGAATATCGTTCGGTTAAATAGCATTTAGGTATAAATATAATTGCACTTTTGTGATTAGCCCTCGGTCTGTAACGTGCAAAATAAATGATCAAATACGCAACTTTTTCGGGGTGGCAGCACGGTCGCGGGTGTCATGGCACCGTTTAAATTTCGTAGCGTTGATGTGTAATTAATTATAACAATTAAATTAAGTATCTGGTAACAAAGATGTTTTGTTATACAGTAAGTACAGTTGTATGCAGTAAAATCCTAGAGTCTACTATCCCTTTAACTAAACGACGAATGATCAAACCACACTGGTCATATACCAACAGAGTACTCAGGACCGTAGCTAACCCATTTTACCTGGGGGCCTAAGCCACGTGCATGGTGTGTTCTGGAAATGTGGCCGCCATTGACCATGTATGGTAACTACATTTTCCTGGGTGGCTACCCCCCCCCCCTGCAAGCTTCAATTTCAAATTCATCACAATACGATATTACACATAGGCCGTCACAGCACTAAGAGCAATCGAATTCTCTTCAGATTAGTGATCGAGTAATCTGCGCGCGGGAAGCGAGGCGGGGATGCGGACCACCCACCTGCTCGGACTTGAAGCACGGTCGACCATGACTGAGGTGTTTCTGCATCCACACGGTGCCGTTCACCTTGACGTACCACGCGGCCGTGTTGTCGACGGCGATGAAGGCAACATCACGCACCGCCTCCGTCCACTTGTCCGCCGCCGGCGACGCCCTGCTCACCTGTACGTGTGAAAGCAACGTGCACCTCACTACCACCGCCAACGCTGCGTACCTGTCATGAACCTCTACGTTACTCAATGCAATGCACTTTCTATCGGTGGTTGCCAATTTCAAGGAAATTGTCACTATACGAAAGAATGTCGCTGCATTCTTTGCTATTTTATATACCATAACAGCATATAAACACATGGTAATTTTTATACTGGAGTACACTCCCACTCAAAACTCGCGCGATGTACCAACCGTAAGTGTATTTGCGTGTGCGCACGTGCGCGCGCGTGTGTGTGTGTTGTCATGTATTATTATTATGTATGTATATTAAATTTCTGTTTTATTTCATTTTATTTCCATTTCATATAAACCATAAAACACAACAGTTTGTTACAAATAATCATAGCAACGAGTAAATATATTATCACATGCATAAACCCTACTGAACCGCATAGAAATGCTGTGTTTGAGCATAACTCTCATATCCGGCCAAATCCCATATCCGGATGGGTGCCGGTCCCGACGTGGCCGGATAAAGGAGGTTGGACTGTACGCAGGTAATGTTTAAACTGTATTAACATGTTCGCTATTACGCGAGACTATATTTCGCTGCATTTTTCTCGAACGTGCAGTCGTTATTTACAAAAACAATTCCTTTGCATCTGACGCAATACCTTGAGGGCCGCATACACGGTGCTGTTGTACAGGCACCAGACGATGCAGCCGGATGGAGAGACGGCGATCTGCTGCGCGGGGCGATTCTTCAGCATCCGCCACTTGACGCTGTGTCCGACCGACAGCTCGCTGAAGTAAACGTTCTCCTTGAGATCGACGTAGCACACGTACCGGTCACACTGCGAGGAAGTAACAGCAGGAGAATACATGTTAGCACCCCCGATGCCCAGATGTAATATTGCACACAATAGTCACACGCTACCTTTGATGCGTCAGAAAAAAAACTACCCACCATCACGATGGTTTTTCAATTACTGCAATAGCATTGGCGGCAGAATTTCGATTATCGCGACACCGTCGAAATAGTAGAATTGCACACATTGTCACAAGTAGGTAAGTAACAGCAGGAGAACACACGTCACCCTCGATGCAATTAAAAATAATGTATGCAAGTGCAGACGTGCAATTCCTACGTGGAAACAGTGAATTTGTAACGCTTTTAGCTAGGAGTGTAATTATGCATCGAACTATGAATTAATTACAATAGCGTTTGGATCGACAGCAATCTTACTCTCTTATCCCTCGTAGGTGCCTATATGGCACAGAAGTCAGTGCATCGATGGACAAGTAAAATCATCAATGCCTATTGCCGATGGTTCACTAGATTGTCACACTTGATATTTTTTCCGATATTTGCAAAATTAAAACACCACAATAATAACATAATAACATATGCTAATCTCCGCGAACTGCCCACCGTTACCTGAGCGACGCAGTATATCGGTCCCGGGGTCGTGACCTGTGTCCAGCTGTCCGCTAACTTCACCTTATCCAGTACGTCTGCGCTCTGAATGCTCGCCGAGCTCGAAGCCCGACTCCTCCCCCCTGTCCCCGTCGCCGCGACGACGGGGCCGGTCTGCGAGGCGAGCGAGCCGTGACGAGAGTGCGTGAACACGCTGTCATTGTCCTCGTCCACCGACGGCAGGGCCGTGTGCGCGTCGCCGCCGCTGCCACTGAACATTCCGCAGTCGGACAGCGAGCGTTCGACGACAGGAGCAGCGGCATCGGCCGAGTCGCTGCCGGCCGCATCGTGAGACGCGCTCGGTTGTTTCGCGTCGTCCTGCGTCGGCGTGGCGCGATCGCTCGCGTCGTCGCCGACGGCAACCCGAGTTTCACGCGTTTCCGCGGCGTCATCGTCGTCCCGCGGCGGTCGCCGGTCCCCGGCGTGTGTGTCATCGTGACTAGACGTAGCTGAACTGCTTCCCTCCGCGTTTGGCACGTGCGTCTGTTCTTCGTCTCCACGGGTTTCGTCGTCTTCCGTAGCGCACTGCGAGCCGGCGGCCGCCACATCTTCCGCCGACGCGTTTCGGCTGCCATCATCGATCGCCTTGCCGACGCTCAACGTCGCTTTCGAACTCTCTGGCGACCGCTTCTTCTTTTTCGTCTTATTCGCGCCGCCGCTCTGGTAGATGATGTCGTTGTCGAACCGCTGCCGCCCGATCGCGTACAGCTTCTCCGCGATCTTATCGTCCGTGTTCGTCTCCGTCTCAGCGGTAGCGCTCGCCGCCTCCGCTTCACTGTTGCCGCTCTCCTGCAGGTCGGAACTAGTCAGTGACGTCTCTAGCGGCGTGATCTGACCAGACTCGAGAACGACGACGGGCGGAAGCACGTCTAGATATTCGGCGACGGAGGCGCGACTGCACACGGCTATGCTGATCGAAGCGGAGGATGTCTCCGAGCTGTCGGTGGCGGCCGTCGCCGCGCTTTTCTCGCAGTCCGATTCGCCGATGAAGCTGCTCAGGAAGCTCCCTCTGACGCTCGCGAAAGGAGAAGCCGACCTGAGCGGTGAGAAGGAGCGCTTGCCCTGCGCATCTCCCTTCAGTAGCATCGCCGAACCTTTGCCAAACGACGTCGCGTCTGAAAGCGAGCCGCATCGAGGTGAACTTGTGTGACGTAAAAAAAGCAATAACGTAATAGCGCTAATAAACGTAACGTGAAATTCAACGATTTCAATATTAAGGGGATGTATATATTTCACTGTATTTTTGTACAGATTTTGCATTTTTAAGCAACGATATCGGAATCAATCATCTAAAACAGTCCGCATAGGTCCTGTTAATCATTGGTGGGTGGGTATCTGGACCAAGCTGTAAGTGTTGGAGAGCACCCTTAAATGCCTGATCCTGCCACCTACTAATACCCACTAACTACACAATAACCATCTACTACACGGTAGCACTGCTATCAGGAGTAGATAATAGGGAAGGAGTGTGACTTCAATAAACAAGGGAAATTCGTCATTTACTAGCCTTAGAATACCTACGATTTACTACGCGTAACTCAACCAACTTGAGCTCAAATCGTACACAGTACATTCGCCTAGCATCGTGCGAAATCGTTTCCTCGTATACACCCGCAATCCGGAGATACAGACTAAAACGTACAACACGATTATCCATTCTGTTGCCATCAATCCGAATGTATTGTCCACCTAACCTGAAACAAAAGGCAGCTACTAACGACTCTCTCGGCGAGGCGGTGTGGCTCGCTGGGAGATTGGCACGCTGCCGCTGAGCCGCAGAGCTGCTGCTGATTGCGGGGGGGGTGGGCGGGGGCATACCAGCTGCTAAATAGGTCAGAGATTTAGTCTCCGAGTGATTGCGTCGATGTCCAATCTTCCCAGCCGAGCCACACCGCCTCGCCGAGGAGAGTCTTTAGTAGCCTACCTTTTGTTTCAAGTTAGGCGGACAATACATTCGCGATTGATGGCACAGAATGGATAATCGTGTTGTACCTTTTTAGTCTGTATCTCCGGATGGTGCGGGTGTATACGAGGAAGAACGATTTCGCACGATGCTTAGGCGAATGTAGCTGTGTCGATTTGAGCTCAAGTGGTGAGTTACGCGTAGTAAATCGTATTGGTATTCTAAGGCTAGTAAAATTGGACGAATTTCCCTTGTTTATTGAAGTCAACACTCCTTCCTATTATCTACTCCTGGCCTGCTATAGTAGTACCTATTAGTGTAGTACATTATAGTACATATTACTATACGTAACTATTGATACGCATGCATACATCAGTACCTGCTAACTGTGTGTCTGCCTTCTCTGCCAGCCTGACAACCTCCCTGTTCGGCAGCAGCACGAATATCTCGTCCTTACACGTGCACAATGCCACGATGTTCTTCAGATCGCTGCACGTTCCGACGAGCACGTTCCGCGCCGGGTCGACGACGAACAGCGTGCTTCCGCTGTTCGTCACCAGGTAGCGCTCATCGTAGAACAGCAGGCGGGTGAATTGTTCCCTCCCCGCGGCGGCGGCGGCGGTGCGTGACGGCATCACGCCGAGCAGCGGGATGGCAGCGTGAGGCGTCTGCAGAGCGTCGCGGAGGAGGAGCGTCTCCATGACGCTGCCGTCGTCGCTGCGAGCCTTCCACACGCGCAGGCCGGGGCGCGCGACGTACGCCATCAGCTCGCTTGGCTTGCACGGCCCCGGCCGGAACACGGCGCCGAAGTCACCAACGCTGCAACATAACCGCCTCGTTAAGCCTCGTCGTTAAGATGCATCGTTAAGCCTCGTCGCTAAGCCTCGTTAAGCTTTGTCGTTAAGCCTCATCGTTAAACCTCGTCGTTAAGACTCATCGTTAAGCCTCATCGTTAAAGTTCAATTCAAGATTGACATCATATCTCAGTGCGTCTCCTACAACAGCTTCCACCTCTGACCGCGCACACCATGCTGCATGCAAAAAAAGTAGACAGCATGTGAGCAAAAAATTGAGTAGGTTTTGCAGCAGAACTCACAAGTATGAGAATAAGGAGAACAGAGATGCATGCTATAATACTGATAGTTTGAATTCACGTCGTCAGTATCGACTTCGTTACCAAGTTTTCTTCTGTACAAATAGAGAAGTTTAATCTAGCATTTAAGTTATTAAAGCACTCGCGATAACATTTTCGATTGACATTCATTTCGACCATTACTTGAAGATCCATAAACGTATTATAGC